GTTAAGAAGTCTGGAAACCACCACAGCTGCCTGTGATTCAGTCCTCTGAGGGCTGCTCCAGGCTGAGGCCTGTGCACCCACACTGAAATGCGCTCCTCTCCCTGCCTGGCACAATATACCTCTCCGATCAACCATCCAGGCTGTCTTTGGCTGGAAATTTGTTTCACTCTGTCTTTTTGTGGGTTCTGCTGCTTTAGAATTTGTTTAGAGCCATTTTTTATAGGTATTTGGAGGGCTTTGGGAGAGACCTCAAGACAGTCACCGCTTCTACTCTGCCATCTTGGCTCCCAGCTGTGCTGTAGTTTTGTACTGGGCCTGCCTTAGAACCTCGATTCTCTTTTTCCTCATCACATCCAGTCTGTTTTTGGCTCCTGATGAAGACACTCCTGCAAGCTATTCCTGTCCCAGGAATAACACTAGAATGCTGATGGGAAGATGGGAAACACAGACCCTTTGAGAATCACAAGTTCCCATAGTGGATAGAGCACTGGTCCTGAAATCAGGAAGACCTGAGTTCAAATCCAGCCTCAGACACTAGTTGTGCAACCCTCGGCAAATCACTTTACCTTTGCTGAACTGTAAAATGGGGATAATAACAGCACCTACTTCCCAGGGCTGTTGTGAGAATCAAATGAAACAATATTTATAAAGTGCTCAGCTCAGGACCTCACTGAGGTGCTGGATAAAGGCTTGTTCTCTTCCATAGTTATAAATGAGTTGTAAGCTGGATCTGTGTGGGTGGAGGATTTTCTTACACCAGAAGTTCCTTAAGTTGACAAAATCATAAATTTTTCCTTTTGTGTATGTACAATTCACTGTTCTAGATGGTGGATACATAAAGACAAAAAGGAAAGTTATATCCTTCTACCATTTCATTTTACAATTGAGTAAATTGACACCAGCCAAGTTAAGTTACTGGCTTAAGGTTGCAGGAGCTACCTCCAGGTCTTGAAGCCCAGTTTTCTAACTAACAAACTGACTGGAAAGTCCAGCATTTTGCAGTCATCTCCAGGAGATTGCTCTACTCAACCATTCTCATCTCTTCAACTCTTTCTTCTCCTTCCCTGCCCCCACATCATCATCTTCAACCTCTCTCTAATTGCTAATTCCCTGCTGCCTACAAATATGCTCAAATTTCCCTTATCCTTAAAAAAAATTGCACTGTATTCTACCATCCCCTCAAGCTATCATTCTATATCTCTCATCCCTTTCTCAGCCAAACTTCTGGGCGAAAATATCTGTCCACAAATTGCCTCCACTTCCTGTATTGAAAATCACTTCTCAGCCATTTTTATTCAGACTTCTGTCCTCATCATTCAACTGAAACTGCTCTCTCCAAAGATGTCTCAATTGCCAGTCCTTATCCTCCATGTCCTCTCTGTTATGTTTGACCCGACAAACTACCTTCTCCTTGATTCTCTTGTTCTCTTTTGGCTTCACTTTCTCAGTCTCCTTTGATTGGTCATTGTCCATGTCGTACTCTCATCCTGTGAATGTATCCCAAGGCTCTGGACCTGCTTCCCTTTTCTCTCTACACTATCTTTTGGCCGCTTTAACTATTTGTTTAACTATCATTTCTAGGCAACTGATTCCCTGATTTATATTCCCAGTAAGTCCCAATATAGCACCAATCACTTTTATGAGTTCAATATCACTAATTGCCTGTTGGATATTTCACACTGGACGTTCTGGAAAATCTTAGAATCAACATGTCCAAAACAGAAGTCGTTATCTTTCCCTGTAAATCCCCTCTTCTACCAAACTTCTTTATTTCTGTTGAAAGCATTACTATTCTTCTAGTGTCAGAGCCTCATAAACCTAATGCTATCTTCAACTCCTCATTCTTCCTAATCTTACAGTTTCTACCAACACGGCATCTCTTACATCTGACCACTGTTCTCTGTTCACACAACTACCACCCTAGTTCAGTAAGAAGGCACAGAGAAGGGAGAGACATGCCTAATGTGAGAAGAAGAGAGAAAGCTAGTTAGAGTAGATTGTAGAGTATGGGAAGGGAAGTACTAGAAAATGAGGCTGAAAAGGAAGGTTGGGGTCAAGTTGTGAAGGGTTTTCTAAGCCATAAAAGTTTGTATTTTGTCCTAGAAGAAACAGAGAGGAACTAGATTTTATTGAATAGGGGAATGACATGATCAGATTTGTACTTAAAGAAAGAATAGATTTTTTGTAGCTGTGTGGAGGATTGGTTAGAATACGGAAAGACTTAAAGCAAGGACACTATTTAGGAAAAAAACTTCAGTGGTCCAGGTGAAGGATGATGAGGTTCTGAACTGAGGTAGTGAGTCCTGTTTCACCCAATAGAATGAAAGCTTTTTGAGAACAAAAACAATAGGATTTTTTGTCTTCATATCCCCAGTGCATAACTGTGCCTGGCATGTGGTGTCTAATCAATGCTTATTGATTGATTTTGTCAAGAATAAGAAGAAAATTCTGGTGCCTAAAAGAAAGTAAATACATATTGTTTTCTCTTAAAATGCAATTTAAAAAATCTTGTAGTAAGGCCATACACTTTTAAATATTTTGAGTAGAAAAGTACTTATAAATGTCATATTTCTCTTCATTTTCTGCAAGCATAGTATCTAATTACAAACAGCAAATCTTTCAAAAATTTATGTTTTGTCTTCTTTTTTCTTTCTTCTAAAACCTGATGAAAAATTTATGTTTGACTTACAATGTCAACAATAATTGAGGGTCACTAAACAGTAGATTCGTATCTTAGTAATTCATTTTTAGTTTAAATAAATTTAATTATAGTCAATCTAACAAACCATTACTTAGTCTACAATGAGTTCTAAGCACTAGATAAATCTTTGTTGAATAAATGAATAAATTCAAAGCGTCTGGTGTGGAGACTCTAAATGGACAGTTAAAGTTTAGGCAAACCAGAGCCCCATCCTCATTGACTTACAGTCTAATAGGGAGAAAAGACACATATACAAATGACAATAATACACAATGATATGTTAGATAAGCATGCTATTGATACCTTTCTTCCATGTAATTAGTAAACATATTCAACAGAACAGAACACTACCATGGTTGGACTCCTGAAGAACTCCATTTAGGGATAAGTACATTAAAGAAGCATAAAACAAGTTATTTCAAGCATCCTAGGGGAGGATTATTCTTAACAATAGATAATATGAAAAGCCTTCATGGAGAAGGAGACATTTGAGTTGAAAAAGTAGTGGATAAGAATTTAACAAGGAGAAGAAGAAGGGCATACACTCCTTGAAATCTGGAACTATTTTGTTTTTGTCTTTGCATCACCTAGTGCAGTGTCTTGCGAGCAGTAGGGATTTTATAAGGTTTTGTGAATTGAACAATGTAAGCAAAGGTGTGGAAAGAGTAAGACACAGGGAATGTTCGCAGAGACACAGAGTAGTCCTGTTTATCTAGAGCATGGAGTAGATGGAAGACGGCAATATAAGAAAAGTCTGGGAAGATAGGGGAATGACATGTTTTAAACAGCCTTGAGTTTCAGACAAAGGAGTTTGAATTCTACTTATTGAGCAATAGGGAACCATTGGATATTTTGGGCAGATGAGTGACAGCATCAGATCTACAGATATGGAAGTTAAGCCTGGCAGCAGTATGAAAGATGAATAGGATGAAGGAGAGCCTGGGAGGCAGGTGACAATGAAAGTTTATATTAGGGTTGTGGCAGTAGGGCTAGAGAAGAGAGAACAGATGGGAGACATGCTGCCAAAATAGAATTGACAGAACTTGGTAAATGACTTCAATTTGAGATTTGAAGGAAAATAGGAGCATTTATGACAAGGCTTCTGACATTGGCAATGAGTCGTGGTGCCACAGTTAGAAATAGAGAAGTTGTAAAGAAGAGCAGGTGTATAAAGGAAGGATAATATGCTCAGTTTTATACTTGAAGTTAAATCAATTATACCCAGAAATACAATATAAAGGCAATTAATGCTATTTTTAAAAATCCACATTATCATTTATAACCTAGCATTTATTGAGTGTCCACCACATATTATTTTGCTATATCACATGGGTACAAAGAAGTCAAAAGTAAAATGTTTACTTCCCAGGACTTGATAGTCTACTTGGGCAAGTAAGATTTTGTTTTTTTGGTCTGGATCTGTAATTTCATCGATAAAGGGACGCCTAGTGAGGAACTCTTTGAACTAGTATAGTTTAGCAACTGCTGAGCAACCCATAGACTTAGAGAGTTAGCCAGGAGGCACCAAGAGGCTAAGCAATGTGCCTAGGGTTACATAGCTCCAACAAAAGGCAACCATTAAAGAATTATACAAGGTAGAGCATAATCAAGAGTTTCCACATTAATAGGGATTTATAGAAGGAAGCTCATGAATTAATGAATGAAAAGACATTTATTAATTGCTTAGTGTGTATAAAACACTGTGCTAAGTGCTAGGGATACAATTAGAAAAGCAAGATAGTATTTGCTCTGAGAGCTAACTTTTTAATAGGGAGACACAATCCATTAAAGAAGGTTCAGCTATAGTGTAGATGGAAACGTAGAAGCAGTTGACCAATGGAGTTGATTAACATGATACACTTAATGGCATAACTATAAGCACTATATAGTGGAAAAATAGTTCAATAATCATGTTGTAAAAGTACTTTCAGCTGAATGAAATGAATATTAATAACATTTATATTATGATATGACTATTTTAAAACATTTTACTTTTCCTCAATTACATGTAAAAATAATTTTTAACATTCATTTTTTAAAATATTGAGTTCCAAATTCTCTCCTTCCTCTCTCCCATCCCCCCTCTCTGAGGTGGTAAGCAATTTGATATGTTATGTATGTGCAATAGTGTAAAACATATTTCCATATTAATGACTATTTTAATCAGAAAAATAGAGCATAACTTCTTTTGAATTGACATGTGATTGATTTTTAATATTGCATCTACTCTGTGAATCACCATGACATAAAGAAATGTCATTGTCACTCTTCTTACCTTCTATTTTCTTTGACTACCTAGGAAAAGGAGTCCATCAATATCCAGAGAACAGAATAGAAGATACGATCAACAGGAAGAGAGAGACGAATATTCCCAGTATGCTACATCAGACAGTGTAATGCCTAGATCTCCTTCAGATTATGCTGAAAGGAGATCTCATCATGGACCTCAATTGTTTGAAGAACCTGAACATGTAGATTATAGGGACTCCAACAGGAGAAGTCGTAGACGTTCCAAAGAGTATATAGATGATGAGGATGTGGAGAATAGGGATGAATATGAAAGGCAAAGGAGGGAGGAGGAATACCAAGCACGCTACCGAAGTGACCCTAATTTGGCTCGTTACCCAGTAAAGCCACAGCCTTATGAAGAACAAATGCGTATCCATGCTGAGGTGTCCCGAGCACGACATGAGCGAAGGCATAGTGATGTTTCGTTGGCTAATACAGAACTTGAAGATTCTAGGATTCCTATGCTAAGAATGGAACGGCAGTCAAGGCAAAGATCCACATCCGAGCGCAGGGCAGCCATGGAAAACCAGCGCTCTTATTCAATGGAAAGAACTCGAGAGACTCAGGGACTCAGTCCTAATCGTCAGAGGACCACAAATCATAGTCCTCCTACTCCTCGAAGGAGTCCAATCCCTATTGATAGACCTGACACGAGGCGCACTGACTCATTAAGGAAACCACACCACTTAGATCCCAGTTCTGCTGTCCGGAAAACAAAACGTGAAAAAATGGAAACCATGTTAAGGAATGATTCCCTCAGCTCAGATCAGTCTGAGTCAGTAAGACCTCCACCACCAAAGCCTCATAAAACAAAGAAAGGTGGTAAAATGCGGCAGGTTTCCTTGAGTAGCTCAGAAGAGGAGTTGGCTTCCACACCGGAATACACAAGCTGTGATGATGTTGAGATTGAGAGTGAGAGTGTAAGTGAAAAAGGTAAGTTCTGTATTTTAATCATCTGTGTTCCCACAGTTATTCATTGATTACATATTGATTTTGTGGATTGGTTAAATATTTCCAGCCAGAATTCTCTTAAATTTTAAAAATCAATGTAAATATAGCATATTTTAAAATCTTAGGTCTCAGATTGGTCTGATGAAGAACATTTCAAGTCATATAAAAGTGTTTATTGTTAAAACATGTATGTGATAATGTTCAAAATCAAGGGAAGCTCCTTTGATTTCAGTTAGTCTCTGTATTAAGTGATTGACCATTTACTTCTTTAACATGATTGTGTACTTCTGTAAACTTATTTCAGTTGAATTTTAATGATGTTTATTTAACTTTAATATGATTCTGTAGTTAAAGTAGGACATCAAGATCAGCATCTATAGTGATCAGCTCACCCTAGAGCACAGAATAATTTCATTTACTTAAACAGTAGCAACATCTCCAAAAACCTAAACTGTCCTATGTGTCTGAAAGATAGAACAGAAAAAAACAGATTATTTTCTTTTTCGGGGAGTTTAAATGCAAGGCTGTATGGAGGATGAAGAAGGATGATAGGATGCTTTCCCAAGGTCTCACCCATCCCTGAGATTCCTTCTTGAGTTAATACCTTCATTTCTTATCACATAAAATTTATGAAAAAGTGGAAACATTAATTTTGGCTAAATTTATTGTGGGCTTGGTCATTTGTTGCATAGAATACATACAATAAGAAAAGATAAAGGTTATAAAACAGAATGACAATAATACGTTTCTAAATTTTATACTTGCTAAAATTTATACTTGCTATTTCCATGATGTTTTGTAACTTTCAAAGTTTATTTTCTCATTTGATTCTTACCACAATCTTTCCAGGTAGCCTGAGCAGGTAAATTTTATTTTCTGTATGCGATTAAATCATGTACAAATTGCCACTACATTAGGTGAACACACAAATAATCCAAATGTCTTTCATGGCACTATTCTTACGTTGACAGTTCCTGGATTCCTTAGCTTTATTCCCTTTGGGGGGGTGGTTAAATGACTTGCCCAGGGTCACACAGCTAGTGAGTGTTATGTGTCTGAGGCTGGATTTGAACTCAGGTCCTCCTGATTCCAGGGCTGGTGCTCTATTCACTGTGCCACCTAGCTGCCCCCTTAGCTTTATTCCTAAGAGATGCCTTTGGATGACAGTGAGCAACAAAGAGGCAGTGTAGTATAGTGGAAAGAGCCCTGACCTTGGAGTCAGAGGACCCTGGGGTTCACAATTCACCTCTGACTTTTATTCTATATGTGACTTTGGGCAAGTCATTCAACATGTCTGGAACTCAGTCTCCTTAACCTGTAAAATGAGGTACTTGGACTAGATAAGTTCCTTTCAGATCTAGATCTGTGATCCCATGATCTTTGTCTTCTTGAACCTGAATCTTCCAGTTATTTACTTCGCAGCATTCTCATGCTGTCCTACATGGGCAACCAACTATACTGTAATTTCATTTTGGAAAGAAAACCAAGTAAAGCAATCTTTCCCTATATTAGAATTGTATGGACAAGAGTTTTCATGTTACAGTACTGAGATTACCCCACATTCTCACTGTTCATTAATATAGTAAATGTGATATGGATTTCTCAGGTGATCTGTCAAGAATCAGTCAGTTAACAAATACTTATTAAGAACTAGGCCCTTTGCAAAGTTCTAAAAGTACAGAGAAAGCAAAAAAAAATAATCAAACAAAAATGCTCTCTTCCCTCTAGAAGCTCAAATTCTAAAGAAGGATACATAGAAATAAATAGTTACATTCAAGGTATAGACATTATCCTTCATATAAATGAAGGATAATGTTAGAGTGCCAGTGTGCAGACAGTGGCTGTGTAAATATAGAGAAGGGGTTGTATATGAAAGATGTGAAAGTAGAAATAATATCTGACCACAGATTGGATATGTGGGGTGAGGGAAAGTGAAGATTCAATGATGACATTGATGATGCCAGCCTGGGTAATTGGAAATACAGTAGTGCCCTTAAATATAATAGGAAAAGAGGAAGAGGAGATAGTTTGGGGGAAAGATAATGAGTTCTCTTTTAGAGATATTGAGTTTGAGATGCTGATAAAAATCCAATTGAAATGTTCAAAAGGCAGTTGGTGATATGAGATTGGAGCTCAGGAGACGGATCAGGGCTGGATATATAGATCTGAGAATCATTTGCATAGAAAGAATAATTTAACATATGGGAGTGAGGGACAAGAGAAGAAGGCCAGAGCCTTGGGAGACACTCACACTTAGTGACATGACCTGGATTAAGATCCAACAGAGGATGTTGATTAGAGATTAGACTAATAAATAGAAAACCAGGGAGACCATTGCCACAAAAAGAAAAAAAATCTTGGAGAGGAGAGAACATCAAGGAGGTGATTAACAGTGTCAAATGTTCCAGGAGGACAAGAAGATTGAGAAAGAATTGAGAAAAGGCTGTTGGATTTTGACAATCAAGAGATAATTGGTAATTTTGGAGACAGCAGTTTCAATTAATTAAATAGTCAGTCTGAGTTCTTGTGACCTTGGAGGAAGAGACATTTATCTATCCTACTTTTATAAAGTCCAAAGGATTGTGATTTCATAACCAAACTTGTTGGTATGTTTTAGTGTTTCAACATATCTATGGTATGATTCAGTCTTCATTTTTCCTGACTTGTTCCTGTAGTTGACTCTGTTGACTCACCCCAGCATCCTGAATACTCTCTCTTTTTAAAGTTGGGGTTTTTTTTGACTCTATTCTCTCCTGGTTCTCTGCCTGCTTGTCTGACCAACCCCCAGACTCCTTTGCTGGGTCATCATCCATATCACTCTCCTTATTTGTGAGCATGCCCCAAGGATCTGTCCTAGGTCTTCTCTTCTCCCTTTATACACTCAGTAACTTTATAAGCTCCCATGTGTTTAACTGTCATTTTTATGCAAATGACTCCTAGATCTGTGTCTCAGTCTCAGTCTTTTTTTCTGAGCTTAAGTCCCATATCACCAGTTGTTTTTTGGGACAGACTTGATGTCCTGGGTACATCTTATACCTAACTTGTCCAAAGATACTTTTCATTTATTCACTTTATATTTATATGGCATAAATTCGTATGTGCACTTGTGGTCCTCCCCCATTAGAATGTACGCTTCTTGTGAGTAGGGATTGTTTCATTCCTTGCAGTGGAATGCCCTGTGCTCAGTACAGTGTTAGGCATACAGTTTAGAACTTGATAATTATTGATTGTGTTTAACCAAATTCTCTTTTGGTGTCATTTTAGCCCATTTCTGACTTTGGCTATTTATTGAGCTAGAGAACAAGACATGGGCATTCTTCTTTTGATAATCACTATGCATTTATAGACAGTCATCCTGGTAGCTTTTTCTTTTCCAGGATAAATAACTTCAACTCCTTCAAATTTCTCTTGCAGGAACATCATTTATATTCCTCTTTTATGTCCTCTCTTTTTGTTCTCAAAATCCTTTAAAAATATGCAAAGCAGAGCTGGACACTGCGTTTTAGTACTGAAGATAGCATCAGCCAAGGCCAAATATAGAAGGATTATTTTCAGACTTTTGCATGGCATAATCCAGTTTATATATCCCCATCTCGTGTCCATTTCTTTTTTTACATAACAGCACTCTATTTCTGAATCACATTCAGCTTAATTTTCAAATATTTTTTCTTGTTGTCTATATCTAGTCATACTTTCTTCTTGTTGTTGATTTAGTTGATTATTTCTGTCATCATTTTATTGGCTTACCAATAGTCAATTGGACTTTATGGACTTAACTCCAACTTACTGGTCACTTTTGTTTTCTTAGGTGTGATGAGCACCATCCTATTCTGTCTTCTGTAGGATGAAGGATATATTTCTACTTTCCTTGATCAAGGCTCGTGATGAAAAAAAAAATGAAATGCTATTAGTCCTATTACTGCATCTGTTCTTCAAACTGATGCAGTTACTGATAAGAATAATTTAGATATGATTGCCAGTCAGTTGTATACCACTAACTAGGCACTTTTAAAAACTGAACCTTAATTTCACTGGCAGGGAAACATCCAGATAAGAAACTACCTTTCCTGATGCAGATTGGTACCTTCCCTGAAACTTAACAGTCTTAGACAGTTACCTGGGGGTCCTACAAGATTAAGTGCTTTGCCTTGTGTCACATTGCCAGTGTATGTTAGAAGCAGAACGTGGACACTGGTCTTCACATTTCCCAGACTGTCTTTCTGCTCAGTATACTACACAGAATCTGAACTACATATTTGTTCTAGAAATAGTTTTCATACTGTGTTTTATGAAACCCAATGGCTCCATGAAGCATCTTTAGGAATTTTTGAGAAAAAGAAAATCTATGAGTATCAGAACAATTTGGATAGAGTTCATTACTCTAAGAACTGACCTTATTACTGTATTAGAGTTAAGATTTTAGGGAATGAAAAATATGAAGTGAGCCATTCATCTAGACCATGTTTTCTTAGGTTTTTAATTAAATTTTCACTTATTTTATAATATATCCATTTATTCAGGATTCATTTATTTAATATTTATTGACTAATAAGTCAAAGGGACAATGTTAGGTACCATGGAGGATACAAAGATGAGAACTTGAACAAATCATGTATCCTTTTAAGCCCTCCATTTGTTTATTTTTAAAAATAGAAGATTGGACTAAACGACCTCTAAGATCCTTTCCAGTGCTAAGTGTATGTTTCAGTGAGTAAGATACAATCCCTACCCTAAAGGAGCTTATAGTCATAGAGAAGAAATTAGGCCACATATTCAAACCTTTAGTAGTATAAGTGCCACAAGAGCAATGCAAAATTGCTATGGGAATCAGAGGAGAGGGATAGAGATTATATTCATGTCCCCCTCCATTATCTGTGTAACTTGGCATTCCAGCATTCAAAGAAATTAATTTGTTCAGTTATATTTTATTTTTTTCAAAGCCTTATTGGTTACTTCTCAGTAACTCACATTTTCCTGGGTGG